CAAACTTACTTTCATGAACTTCTGAATGAAGAAGGGGATCGGGATATTGTGCTAGGTGAACTAGAGCATTCCGAGAGTCACTGTGACTTTGGGCACTGCAGGCGTATCGAGGTAGAGGAGGTCGTGGGAGTTATGCATAAGATGAGCAGGGGTAGAGCGACCGGGCCAGACGAAATTTCGATTGAATTTTGGAAGTGTGCGGGTAGAGCAGCCTTGGAGGGGCTGACCGAGTTGTTTAATGTTATTTTTAGGACGAAGAGGATGCCGGATGAGTGGAGGTGAAGTACGGTGGTTCCGTTGTATAAGAACAAAGGTGATATCCAGAGCTGTAACAATTATAGGGTATCAAATTACTAAGCCATACGATGAAAGTTTGGGAGAGGGTGGTTGAAGCGAGGGTGAGGAGGACAGTGTCTATATCCGACAACTAGTTCAGGTTCATGCCGGGTCGTTCTACTACGGAGGCTATACACCTTATTTGGAGGTTGGTGGAACAGTACGGGGAGAGGAAGAAGGATCTGCACATGGTGTTTATTGATTTAGAGAAAGCGTACGACAACGTTCCTAGAGAAGTTCCCTGGAGATGCTTGGAGGCAAAAGGCGTGCCGGTTGCCTACATTTGGGCAATTACGGACATGTATAAAGAGGTTATGACTCGGGTTAGGACAATAGGAGGCGACTTTGAGCTTTTTCCAGTTGTTATGGGGTTACACCAAGGTTCTGCGCTCAGCCCGTTCTTATTTTCCCCGGTGATGGACGTGTTAACACATCATATTCAAGGGGAGGTGTCGTGGTGTATGTTATTCGCCGATGACATAGTCCTGTTTGATGGATCGCGAACCAGTGTGAACGAGAGGTTGGAGGTCTGGAGATAGGCTCTTGAGTCTAAGGGTTTCAGGTTGAGCAGGACGAAGACGGAATACCTGGAGTGTAAGTTCAGTGCGGAGCCGAGGGAAGTTGGTGTGGAAGTGAGGCTTGAATCTCAGGTCATCCCAAGTTGTTGCAATTTCAAGTACCTTGGTTCGGTTATCTAAGGGGGAGGGGAGATCGATGAAGATGTTACACACCGTGTCGGGGTGGAGTGGATGAAGTGGATGTTAGCATCTGGAGTCCTGTGTGACAAGAGAGTGCCACCGATACTCAAAGGTAAGTTTTACAGAGCAGTGGTTAGACCGGCCATGATGTATGGAGCTGAGTGTTGGCCTGTTAAGAACTCACATATTCAGAAGATGAAAGTAACAGAAATGAGGATGTTGAGGTGGATGTGCGGGCACACTAGGATGGATAAGATTAGAAATGAAGATATTCAGGAGAAGGTGGGCGTGGCTCCCATTGATGACAAGATACGGGAAGCGAGACTCAGATGGTTCGGACACATTCAAAGGAGAAGCCCAGATGCTCCAGTAAGGAGGTGTGAGCGGCTGGTTTTGGAGGGCACGAGAAGAGGTAGAGGACGACCTAAGAAGAATTGGGGAGAGGTGATCGGGCAGGACATGGCGAGGCTTCAGATTTCCGAAGACATGGCCCTTGATAGGAAGCTATGGAGGTCGACTATTAGGGTTGTAGGTTATGTGATAGTTGAGTCTTGCCTTACTTCGTCCCTTTGTAAGGCTAGTCTGGTAGGTTTATTCTTTTTTTCCAAGTCAGCTAGTAGTAATGTTGTGTCTTACCACTATTTTACTACTATTTCATTTTCCATAGTGCTGGGTCTATACACTGTCTAACGTTTTTCCTTTGCATTTACTTTCTCATTTTCAAGATGTTATTTTTCCTATATTTTCTATTGGAGGTACTGATATTGTATCTTTGTGTTTTCGTCTTCTTGAGCCGAGAGTCTTTTGGAAACCGCCTCCCTATGCGTACACACTACCCTCCCCACACCTCACTAGTGGGATTTAGGCCGTTGTTGTTTGTATATCATACTTATCGTTACTCCATCCGGTTCACAATAAGTGTCCAATTTGCTTTTAGCACGCCTATTAAGAAAATACTAAATCCTATACAAAAATACCTAGTATGACTAAACTACCCCTAATTAAACATTTAATGTGAGGAGTAAGAAAATTTTTTAGGGCTATGTCGGGGTTATTTGTAAAAATAAATTGAATTCTTTCTTGATTACATAACTGGACACTTATTTTGAATCAAAATGAAAAAGCAAATTAGACACGGAGGGAGTATTGCTCAAAAAAAAAAAAAGAAATTACCTATAAAGGAAAAAAAGAGAGGATAAAAAGCACTAGCCGTCCGGTGATACGGCAGTTTTGGACTAATCATTGACGAGCTTTGAATTTCATGGCCGCCGTGCCCTCTAATGGTACTTAGCTCTCTTACAATTAAAATTATTCAGTACTAGAATGAAATGCGCCTAAATAGAGTGCATTAGTATGTATACCCTATTAGTTTGAAATTGAGGTGTAATCAACTGATTGATATTTGATTTTATTTTGAAAATTTTGGGTACAGAAGTTGTGCTGGAGGAGCTGAGACATGGATTGGCGCAGTTTGAGCTGGTTGCTTCTCTAGTTGCTTCAGTTTCTGCTTCCAGTTACAGGCCTCAGCAAAGAGGCCTAAACCCCTTTCATGTTTTCTCTGGTGCTTCTGGTCATCAATCATTTGCTAGAATAGGACCCTCACTGTAAGCTTTTCTTATTTTATCATGGAGTTTTGCTAGCTTGAGTTGTGTGGGTACATTTTGTTATTGCTTAGAATGATTTTCGGGTTCAAGTTGTATACACCATCAGTGTAATGAATTTTTATACCATCAGGTTACCTTTACTTATTGTAGTAGGTAACTTGTCTTATTTTCAAAATTACGATTCTCACATTTGAAGTATAAGGAGGCGTATCTTAGGAGACCTGATTGTGTAAAAAAATTCTTACATTGACAGTGTATATAACTTAAAACTCAATCTTTTCATGCTATATATTAATGGGTGAGGCCTACTCCTTGTGACAAGCATGCCGTCAACCTATGTTACATGGATTTGAGGGTGTTTGGATTGACTTGTTGGCTTTTAAGAATTTTTCTAGTTTTTGTGGTGTTTGGCAATGATAAAAAGTGCTTTAAAGCGCTTACTTTTAGGCATGAAAAGTATAAAAATAAGCCAAAAGCCAAAAGTTGGGTATTACCAACTTATGACTTTTGTTTTTTTAGCTTATAAGCTACAGTACTTTTTAAAAGCCAATCCAAACACTTTGTATACCGATATGTATCATACATGGGTGTTAAGTATCCTATACCTATGTTACGTGGACTTGTATACAGAGGCGGAGTCAGGATGTGAAGCTATTGGGTTGGAGATTCTAGCCCTTCTAAGTTACTCAGTTCTAAATTAATAATGTATACATATTCAATGAATTTTTAAAGGCAAATGTAGAGCTTGGACCAAAGCTACTGGGTTCGGTCGAACCCGCGTCCGAAGTTGTAGCTCCGCCCCTACTTGTATATCTATGGGTTTAATATATGAGCGTCTGTAATTATCCTATATGAGTATCAAGCACGTGCTGTTTTTGCTAATATTTGGTGCAAGTTGAAGAACTTGTACCCATGATAAACCTGTTGGACACAGTTACATCAAAGCAAATACTATGTAACATAGCCTTTAACAACTAATATGTTCCCTAAGACAGTGAAGGGCTTGAGAATTACCTAAATTCAGTCTAAATAGATTCTAGCTTTTTAAATGAAGTGCTTAATTTGATCTCACAATTGTATGTTTTCTGTGATTTTTTTCTTCTTCAATTTTTATTGTAGAGGTGGAGGTTCGCCAGCTTTAAAGAAAGTAGAACGTTATTCAGTACAGAGAGTAACAGGTGATGGCCGCTGTATGTTTCGTGCTCTGGTATGAAGCATATTCCTTCCCTGATCGGAAAATCAATTTCATTTAATGCTATTGACTGCATAGCTTTATTGCTATAACTTTTAGATATCTTTTACCCTAATGGTCATGGTTTTAAAACATTTTGCTTATTCGTTGAAAGGGAAGGAAACACAAACTTGAGAAAACATGCTCCTCTAACAAGAGTAGAAATTAAACTAACTGAAGGAAACTACTAAGTCATTTTACTGACAATGCCTCCCAACTCCGCAGTAGGTCCACATGCGCCACACCTTAAAGGACCATTTTCTGTAGTCCATAAAGAAGCAAAATAAACCATCTTTTTCCAGTTGAAAGGACATTCATAATCTTGCTTTTCCGTCTAGTCAAACACAAAACTCATTGCTAATCAGGCAGAAAGCCACAAGTTTTTGCATTCACTCTGCTAGCAAAAAACCCTGAAAACCTGATTTGATTTTTTCAATGGCGCTCGCACACAGGAATGACAAGGAGTTATCGATGAACCTAAACAGCTTCCACCTCAATGGCGTCAACAAATAAAAATGTAGAAACATGCATTTATGGATCTCTACTCCGTTTTTTTTTTTTTTGTTAAAAATAAATTTATAAGTTACATATATTTATGGCTCCCACTTTGGACATTGCAGTATTCAGGAGGTATAATCTTGTTTAGGCTGTAACATGTCTTTCATGTTTATCCTTGTAAGAATAAGAACCTACATGACCTTAACCTTTCATGGGTTCTTTGTTTCCCAAAAGGGAGGATCTTGTGTTATCAGCCTACCTTAGAAGATTTACATAAGAAACCAAAACTATCTGAATCCAGTATCCTTCTATCAGGATGAACTGAAACTGAAAGTTAACGATCCCATCAATCGTGAAGGAACCTTAGAATTCATTTATCTTCTTATCGTTCAGGTTATGAAAAGTTGATGACTCTGAATTCTCCTCACATATGGTAAATATCTGAAAATAAGAGCGCTATGAAGCAAATATCTGATAAATGTGGATTATTGCATTTTGTACTTCATGCTATTTGTACCTGAAATTTTTTAGTGCCTTGGAACTTGGAAGCAATGCTTTCGTTCTCTTAGGAATTTCTGTTATTTCTAAATCAGGTAAAAGGGATGGCTTTCAACAAAGGTGTGAAACTTAACCCTCGAGATGAAAGAGAGGATGCAGGTAATATTATCCACAGCAGATTTTCATCAATCAATTTCGTGCTACTCATTAATTCTACCGACAAGGTTAACGACAATTAAAAAAAAATTATACCAACAAGGTTAGAACCTCATAGTAGCTTTCTAACTGTTCAAAGTTACGAAGTTCCCTATTGTTTTTGGTTTTCCTCTCACTTGGAAACTATGCCTTCCACATATTAAGTAATCTCCAAAAATCTTACTCCTGATACACTAGGGCAAGTTATTAGTTCTCTTCTCATTTTGTGTGGATTTTCCCCCTGAAGTTGATGAAAAATCTGCCTTTTTCTTGTGTAACAGATGAATTAAGAATGGCTGTAAAAGAGGCTCTTTGTGATGATGAGAAAGAGCGTCTTAAATATGAAGAGGCCTTGATTGCCATTACAGTTGAGGAGTCTTTGAGACAGTAACATGAAACTTCATTCGTCAATTTTTGGTACTTTATGATAATAATGCTAGTGATTTGGATAAGAGTCCTTTCTCAATACTTTGATCTGTTTTGTTAGATATTGCCAACGCATTGGACGATCTGATTTCTGGGGAGGAGAGTCAGAGCTATTGGTAAGCATATTCTTAGCCCTTTTCTTCTAATCTTGAATATTCTGCTGTCTTTATCCTCTACCGAGGTGCCCGCCAGCAATACATGATTAGTTGCTGTATGGGAAGTTCTTATGAAATTCTCAATCATTCTTTCAGGACTAGTATTAGTTCTTTTGGCTCATTCCTTCATTTCATGTCTTCAATGTTACTGTCTCGTTTCGTGAGGTCTACAAAAGAGATGTTTTCTTATAGTGTTTCTATATGAAGTGCATCGATAATACTCCGCTTCACACATCAGAAGTGGGGCACTTGCATGCTACTTTAGTGTTCCATTTAGCTACATTACCCCCCTTATGCTGATAGATTATCTTTCATTTTACATCAGGTATTATCAAAGTTGTGTTGCCAGCCAATTACGGTATACATACCAGAACAGGAGGTACTATCCCTTTGCTTCAAAAGATTTATTTCTATAGTAGTCATAACCAGGACTTGTCACTTGGAAGTCAAGCTTATCCATCCTATCAATAAAGCATCAACAGCGTAGACAGAAGTATCTTGGGTCTCGGTGTTTAATTATATCTGTTTTCCTTTCCAACAGGTGAAGTAGTCTCTGCGAAATCTCATTCAAAATAGCCCAGTGTATACATTAACCAAATCGAATTCTAAAGTGCATTAGGTCTTTCTAAAGCAAGCTAACTGCATCCTAGCTTCACCAGCATCTTCCTTAAAGCAGTAGACTATCATCGCTATTTCTCCTTCCATGAACTTTTCCTTCTTCCTTTCTATTTTTCCCATTTAGTCTACTAATTCTCTTCCAAAAGAAATTAATAAGGCTGAAAAATAAGTCAAACGTACCAACTCAATTTATGTTGAAGCTTCTGTTGGCAATAGCGAGTGATATATGTAAAGTTAAAAGACAAAGAAAGAAAAAATAATATAAAGGCCTTTCATCTTCTCAGGCTAATGAACCAATTCGCCCTTAGCTTTCATTCCTTTTGTGTAATGATTATTTCTTAAACAGCATGAAGCAGGGAGAAAAGAAAGTGATGATAAAGTATTGATACAAAATGTTGTTGAGGACATTAGTAATAACATTTAATGGACGATGAATGCTTAAAAGAAACACATGTAAGGTAAAAGTTCCATTTGATTTAAATAGAAGTAGTCGTTTGGCTTCTAGGTTCATCTCTAGTTTGAACTCCTGTGCTCTGCTTGTTAGGGGTTGGTTATGTATTGTTTATGGTGTTTGCTTCCAACTTGTAAAATCATATATATAGACTACGCGGATCCACATGGTTACAAGCGGTGTCACGTGACACCGCTTCGTAAAAAAAAAAATTACTAAATATATCTTAAATGATAAATTAAAAACGATATAACAGTTACATATTATTACAGTGACACCGCTTGTAGAATTAAGGTTCTCCAGCCTAGTGGTACAGTAGTTCACTAAATTACTGGGTGTCGCGGGTTCGAGTCTGCATGAACTCTAGGAACTTTTCTTACTTTTTCGTCACTAAGCAAGCGAATGATACAATGTAATTTGACCAGATATTTTTTTCCTTTTTATAATTAAAAAGAGTCCCTGAACATGCAAAGAGAGTTTAGCGAAAATCCTAAAAAAGAAAAAGTACTGTTTAAAGAAAAGGCAAATCACAATAGTAGCTCTAAAAGAAACTTCATTATTAAGGAAAAATATTTAAAATCAAGCAAAAGAATTTAAATGTTTTTTTTAATAGTATTCTGAATGCTTTACACACCATAAGTTTCTCCGAGTGCGTCTAAGACAGTTTGTCCACCGAGTTTGATGTTATAAATTTGTTTACTTTCTTAAGTGTGACACCGCTTATACAAAATTCTGCGTACGCTATTGACTGCATGTGCAATAAGTCCTGACATATTGTGGGAGAAGAGATTGAAAAGGTCATTATGACCTTGAAGACGTGCTATCTGATTGGTAGATCAAACCATAAACCCCAATACTGCAACTGCAACAATGCTATTGTGTTACTGAACTAAAATGATTGGATCCAACATCTTACCTACCTTAAATGAGTAATTGTTGAACGCTGTCAATAGCTTTGTTTTCTTAGCCATTGAATAATATCTAAGCTCTTAAAAGTACTCCTAAATTTCGCTTGCCTTTGTTCTTCTATATTTATGATTTAGTGTTTTCTTAAGAATTTCTGCAATTTTCAATGAAACTTCAGCATGGAGGAAGAGGCTCTGGTTTCATTCCTATTGCAGAATACGGAGCTGAGTTCCGTAAAGGTTCAAAAAACAGAAAGGCCAGGAAAGCTGTGAGGCTTCTTTATAGTGGTCGGAACCATTATGACCTACTTGTATAGGATCTTTGTAACATTCAACAGAGTTTGAGCAATGCACAAGTTTCTTACCAAGAGCTGCTAAAGCCAAAGGGGAGTTTGTGAAGGTTCCTAGTTGTGGCTAGAACCATTCTGCACATTTGATAATTTTGCCAGCGGCATAGAAATTTTGAACCGAAATGTTGATGATACAAACTTGTTATGTAGATGTATTTCCTGAGCTTCATAACTAGTAGTAATTGTAAAAGAAAAACTGATTTTTAGATTGTTCATGTAGGAGACAATTTATGAAATTCTCATACTTGAATTTTGTTCATTGTTTTATGAAGTGTTTCGTTATTTCATGTTAGTTGTGTAATTGAGAAGGAAGATTCACTGTCTAAATATTAAATAAGCACAATGAAGAGGAAAACCTTGTTCTGATTAATTAATTTGCAGAATTATTGGTTGTATCCAGATTACTTTGGACATATGAATATTAATATGAGACAAGAATATAATATCTTGTAATAAATGTAATATTACTGTACCATCAATATATGAAATATAGCACTTGATAGTCGACGCAAAGGTCTAAAATGTAAAAATTGCACGGGCGCCCTATTTGATCGCCCCCATTTAACCTATACCCATTTTTTTTTAAAGTTTTAACTTGTAACCACTTTTTAAACAACTTCTATTCCCTTTCTCCTCCTTCTCCTCCTCAAAGTTATATCCGCCCTCAATCCGATAGGCCACTCCTTTCTGAAGTCGCTGATTGTGAAAATGTTCCAGTAATTGACATGGGCTGTGGAGGCATTCTTGACGAAGTTTATTCTTCAGCTATCTCTTTTAAATAAATATTTCTTACTATTAATCAGATTCTCAGAATTCCTTTTAATTGTAAGTACTAAAAACTCAAACGCGACAAGTAATTTGGCAAGAATACTAGCTGTTTGATTTCACAAGGACTTAGATTGCTATACGATGTGAATTCACACTTTGAAAATCGTCGTGGATTGCCATACGATGTGATTCCCCCTTTGAAGATTATTGTGGATTCATAGTAATAAATAGCAAAAACTTCAGCTCTAGAGTTGAAGTTCGACAGTTACAAAACAAAAACTTCAGCTCTAAAGCTGAAGTTCGCCAGTTACAAAACAAAAACTTCAGCTCTAGAGTTGAAGTTCGCCAGTTACAAAAACAAAAACTTCAGCTCTAGAGCTGAAGTTCGCCAGTTACAAAACAAAAACTTCAGCTCTAGAGCTGAAGTTCGCCAGTTACAAAACAAAAACTTCAGCTCTAGGGCTGAAGTTTGCCAGTTACAAAAACAAAAACTTCAGCAATTACAAACAAAAACTTCAGCAAATAGAGAACAAAACTTCAGCTACTATGCTTAAGTTCAGCAATTACAAACAAAAACTTCAGCATACTTGGTTCACCACACTTGCTACTTCAGTCCCGTCTACTAGAATGCTGAAGTTTTGCGTGATTGCCTTTGCTACTTCAGCCCCGTATGCTGAAGTTACGCGAAAAAGTGGGTACGCTTGCAATTTTTTTTGCAAAGCAAGCACAAGTTAAAACGTGACCCAAAAAGTGGGTATAGATGCAAATATCCCGTCTAAAATCCGCCCTTTTTGCTAAAGAAAATTCACGAATGAAAATAAAATAAATTGAGATACGTTGAAAGATTTACTTGGAGAAAGAGAGATGCAGTTCATTCACGAATCATCCATACAACAACTTTTCAACCTTATGAGAATAAATTCTACATAGTTAGAAGCAAAATAATGCGCAAAACTCAAAAACAAATTATAAAAAATAAAAAATTCAAAATATAGGAAAATATTTTGTTAAATAAAACTTGTTTTTACTCTCGAACAATAGTAGTGTAATGTAAAATTAGTTAAATGAATTTTTATAATGTCATTGTTAAGTGAGAAACAAAATCTAAGTTTGTGAGGAGAAGTTCCTCCAAACCTTATTATTATTTCTTTGATACCAATGGTGTTAGGATCACTTGCACTCATTTTATGTTTTTATTCCATTAAGTATCTATTAACTTTCACTAGCACAGGAAATAAGTTCACATAAACTGAAACAGAGGGAGTACTACTTTAGTACTTATAGTTATCATTCAAAAGGTATATTAGTTGAATTTAACTTTTACGACAAAGTAAATTCTTTAAGTGCATAAAAGTAAAATTGTTCTTGCTATATATTATAGTGCAATTTTTTTTACACCATTTATATATAAACATCAAATCTATTTTTATTTTAAAATTTCTTTTTCTTGAATACAAATTATTCCATTCAATTTTCTTTCTGTTTGTGAGCTGTAAATATTTCTAATGGTAATAAAGTTTGTTACTTACCAAAGAAAAAATATTCCATTCAATACCCAAATCATTTACCTCTAAATTTCCTTACTGTTGAAAGGTACTAGGAAGACTAAAATCTACTAGAACAATTATTACAAAGACAGAAGAAAACAGGATCAGCAGCCCCACATGACAGCTTAGCTGTGAGAATCAGGGGAATGTCCCTGTCTTCTTTATTTAAAAACATCAACCTCATATTTCTTTTTCTTTTTTTTAATTTCTTATTTGATGTTTGGTATCCTCTAAGGAGTTCCACTAACAGTTTATTTTTGATGATTATTATTTTAAATATAATATTTGTTCTGATTATTATTTTAATTTTATTGTATCATGTCATTAAATTCGTGGTTATGTAATAATGGAAAGACCTCCTTTACGTAACGATCGACTTGGTATGATCACGTTATCTTATTTTTTTTTCATCTTGCCCTTACTATTATTCTATTTATATTATATTAATGTATAATATAATATAATATATTACATGCGACATATTAAGAAATGATATGTAATAACCATCCAAACAAACTGTAATTTAAATTCACAGTCATATTTTTTATTTGGAAGTAAAACACTTGAAACGACTCTATTCCAAGATCAACCTCATGTTTCACTTCCTCCCCTGGACCCATCTTTTTTCTTTCTTTTCCTTTAAAAATCAAGTCCCAAAGGCAACTTCCTCAACCGGCCAGCCCCCACTTTCTATTTTAAAAAACAAATCTTTATTCTTTGGGGTTGAAAAAACAGTGCAGAAAATAAAAGTCATGAGTATGTTTTCATGCTTTTAGGCTGTAATCTGAGTGCCACTAATCCCATATCTCAATATTCATCCATTTCCATCTAACTGAAAAGTAAAAAGACTGATTCTTGGTGATGAACTATACACAAATTTTGACTAAAGATACCAAAGTTGTGACTTTTTTCTCTGTTCTGTTATACAAGTAGTTTTCATTTGAGGTTCTTGGAGTTGGGGTTTTCTTGGCTTTAGAAATTGGTTGAAAAATGGGTTCAAATGATAGGCTATTTAACAGACAAAGAAGTCTTCATCAGATCCTTGGAGGAGGTTTTGGTAAGTCCACCTAATTCAAATGCTGGCAAATTCTTGATCATGTCAATGCTTGTTTAATGAAGAATTTAAGTTCATAATTTGGTTTATCTGGAAATTGATTGACATATTTATCGCAAATGAGTTCTTGATATGGATAGATGAGATTTTTATAGCTAATGGTCAACTAACTATTTGTGATAAACAATTTGTTCTTGGTCATTTTGTTTTGTGTTTGATTCAATTGTAGTTTGTTTGAAACAGTTGCGGATGTTGTTCTATGGAGGCGAAAAGATGTGACAGTGGGAATTCTTGTAATTACATTGTTTGCTTGGGTGGTCTTTGAGATATCTGGTTATACACTCCTATCATTAGTTTCAAGTGTTTTCTTGCTGCTCTTCACCATTTTGTTTCTGTGGGCTAAATC